GGGATGACGAGGGTGTCATATACTAATAACCTCTCCATGACCTACTTTTTATGCTTATGTGCTTATTATAAGGATTCAGCATTTTTGATTAAAAATATGTTAAAGAAAAAAACAGTAATTTATTACCAACACTTCTGAAATTAACTCAATTGTTTTAAAATTGTTTAAAATATAATATAATAAAATGAGTTATGTGATAAATTACATAATTAAACATTCATAACTACATCATAGTGTACATTGTTGATGTTCCTTATGTAAATGCACTTTTCACTCATCATCACTTTTTTCTTTAAGTCCATATATTTGTTAAATATTTGCCACTTATTCGTTAATGTAGAAAAAATATAAATTGATGTCTTTAGTAAGAAAGCAGCAGCAAATATTTCGACATCAGTTCCCCATACATCTAAAAATCAGAAATGTTTATTATAATTTTTCAAGTTGTATAGGTTTAGTAATTACATATATCATTTTATAGTAAATAATTTTAATACTAACCGTCATTTTCTATATTTTTTTCAAGATATTGAAGAAGTTTATTCTTCCCACCAACATACTTTTCAATACTCTCGTTTGATTTCACTACTTACAATAATATATATCTAATAAAATTAAAATAACTCATATCTTATAAATGTATTGTATTCAAGAAAAATGTTTATCATTTTAAAATTATGTTGAAATCTATTTATCGGATTTATTTTGATTAAAACAAAAAATAATTTTTAAATTTACTCTTCTTAACTATACATGAGTCAAGCTTATTTTCCTAGAACCCTTTATTTCCTTAAATAATTATTTTATTTTTATAACTAGCTAGGAAGTAGGTACCATTATTTTTATTTTACATACTCTAAAATTTGCATAAAATTTATTTTTATTATTACTATCCTATTACACCATTCTGTTTATTTTTTAAAAACTCTATTGTCTTATTATGTTTACATATAGTCATTAAAAATTAATTTTACTTTTTTACCATAATTAATTTTAACTTAATCATTGAAATAATTTTTTTTTTATCCCTATTAACATAATTTCTGTAACTATAAAATCAAAAATTTGGTAAAAATGTATGAATAGGTATATTAATGAATAAATTATGAAATAATATGTATAATTTGTATTAAACATATAAAACATTTATATAATAATTATTATTTTATATTACCTCAGCAATCAAGTTTCGTATTTTCAAATGATGATCTTGTGTTCCAGTTAGCCAGTAAGATATAGACCTATAGAGGCAATTACCATCACCAATAATATCAATGATTTTTGTTGGCTCTCCAAGAATTTTTCCTCGGTATTTATAAATGAAATAATTTTCTATTTTAAGATTTAAGATCTTGTTTTGTCTCAATTGCCATGGTTTCGTCACGGGATTAAATACTCGTTTATCCTTCAATTCATCCTGTTTTGATTTGATGTACTCAATATCCTTCACTTGCAAATTATTGATATCGACGATATTTTTAGAATTTTCAGTGTCACTACTTTTACTTCCAGACTTGTCAGCATTATATTTTTCTTCAGTTTTATTTTTTATCGGTTCACTGAAAATTTTCAAATTTTTCAAATTAATTTTTTTTTTCAAGACTTTGAATTTATTTTTGAGCACACATGTATTGCCAGAGTGAATAGATACTATTTCATATGGACCTTTCCACGGTATCTGACGCCAACCACCTTTCTGATCATCCCTACACAAGTTTCTAACGAAAACTTTATCACCTTCTTGGAAAATGTGACCCGTATTATGACGTTTAGAATAAGAATAACGTTGACGGTTTTGTGCTTCATCTATATTTTTTTTTTTTGCTTTATCTTCCATCACATTTCTCATAACGATCATTTGATTTAATGTATTTTTAAATGTTTCTTGATCAAATAAATCCAAATCGTTATCTTCATGATCTGAGCCATACTGATTACTATTGGTTGTTACAGAATATTTATCTGTATCGTCATAATTAATATCAATAGGTAGCGTAGCATCACGTTGATACAACATTTTAAATGGCGTGTATCCAGTGGAAGAATGTTGTACCGTTCTATGTGCAAATAAGACACCCTGTAAAATATATGGCCATTGCAATACATTCTTCTGCAATACTTTCAACAAGCAATTTTTAATTGTACGCTTTTGACGTTCAACCAGACCATTAGCTTACGGATGATACGCCGATGTAATTCGTTGTTCAGTTCCTGTGAGTCGAAATAGCTCGTCGTTCAGGTTATTTACAAATTCTCTTCCCTGGTCACTAATTTTTATTTTTGGACAACCATGGCGGCATATTATTTCATCATACAAAAACCGTGCAACAGTTACTGCTGATTTGTCTTTTTTAGGTCTGGCTTCTGACCATTTTGAAAAATAATCTATACCAACAACTACATATTTGAAACCATAAATTTCTGGTAGAGTCATGATGTCTACTCCAATTTGATTAAAAACCTAATTTTAAAAAAAATTGTTTGTATTGTTTTTATGATGAAAGTTGATTATTTATATTAAATACATCAACAACTATACAACTATACTTGAATCAATATAAATTATACAAGTCATAGAAAAAAAAAAGGTCCCGTTAGTAAAATCATATGAAAAACGTAATAGTACATTAGTTATTATTATTTTATTATATTATTTTTATGTATTCTAAAAATATTATTATTTATTTAATATTTATGTTTTAGGTATATTTTTCGCGGATATATTATTATCAACTTATAAATAATAAATAATTTTTACCAATTGTTAAACTATCATAGTGTTATATGTTTAAATGTTTTGTAATAATTAATAAATTTATATGTTATGTGTACGTTTCAAAAACGGGCAGTGTATAATATTATAATATATATACATATTACCTGGATAATTTACAAAATAAACGTTAGTTAAATATACCTATAGCTTGTAACATATAAATATTAAATAATATGTATACAAATTTACACTTGATATAATTAACAAATGTACAATTATGTTTTATATGATTTTATTAACGGGAAATTATTTTCCGGCATTCACACAGACAATACTCCGTTTGCTGAAATAACTCACTTGCCCAATAATAATATTAATATACCTATTATTACCTATACGGCTATATCTAACCTAGTAGTTATAAGTCACTAGCCCTAATAATGAATCAAAAAAAAATTTCAAATGTCACTTTATACATAGACAATAGACATATTTTAAATTTTAATAATACGTAATAGAAAATGAAATAATTGTTTAATTTAAGTTAATAAAAAAAAAATGTATAACTTCTTAATTTTCATTTACCGTTAACACGATCAATATATATAGTAAGATTATTTACTCATTACTCACAGACCACAGTTGACATTTTTATAATTTTTAACATATCAATAATATATAATATTCAATATTATAAAACTTACCTGGTTTTTCGATATTATCTTCTCACGGTCGAAACATGTTTCAAAGATTAATATAGTATAATAGGACTATCAACCACTATTTTTTTAAATCCTATGAGGTTTATTTAAGATTCGTCGTAATTCGTTAAACAATAAACATATCAATATATGGACCGTGCGTCCTCCATATCTTGCTATTCAAAGTGTTTTACATGATATCGATATTTATCGATATTTATTTAAATTTAATTTATGAGTCTGGTTACACATGGAGCGATAAGAACGCGTACGTCCACGTTTTTATTTCGCGGACCAATCGGACAATAATCGCCCAAAATACAACACGTGTATTAGATGTGTATAATTGTGTATATTCAAACGGGAAAAACAGGCATATTCCGTTGCAAGTGCACACAAATAGCGCCCGTTTGATATTAACGATTTCGGTCGCGATTGTTCGCTTAAATTTAGTTATGGGTTTCTAATGTTTGTATTTCATTGATTAAGAATTTAGAGTAAGAATTTACATGACGCTATGTGTATTATATATATTTAATTTGTTGGGAAAAATTGGAAAAATGGGCGTAGATGCTAGTGTGTAATCAACGCGCTTTCAAATTTTTTAAAGTGCGACAAATTTAATAACGCGGACACGAGTGTTCGAATCATTGAATCTAGGAAAAAACCTTAATGTAAAAAAAGATCGTCAAATGTATTTTACTTTAAAATTCCAAATATTTTAAGTCAAATGTTAAGTTAAATAAGTAAATAATAATAAAAATAAATCATAGATATAGAATAATATATGCTATTGCTATTAAAAAAATTGGTAAACCTCTTTCCCTAATTAAATACTTTCCTCATAATTTTTTGAGTTTATTCTGTAATTTGACATATATTTTTATTGTATTATTTTAATAAACTCTGAAATGTACACAGTCTGTAGACAATAAACTCTAAATTTAAATCTATAATTGGTTTGAGTTTTCGTTATTTTTAGATACGGATAATCGTAGTTTTTGAGGGCCTTCCCAAAACAATGTATATGAAAGTATACAGAATGAATATTAGATATATTATACATTTTTCTACTTAATTTACAAATTATAACAACTATTATAACATTTGAAACATACTATATCATGTAATATAATTACTTTGCCACTAATTTAATTTAATTTGTTTCATTTAGCGTTATCTACGAAACTATAACGAATGCCTGTGTATTTTATTATATGTTTGGATATATAAAATATAACATGTGTATATACTATCCAAGTATTTTATGCACAAAATGTTATTCAATTTTCTGAATTAATAGAGTAATGCTTCTAATGCCATTGACGCTTCACAGTATAAATAACGCGACGCTACGGTATAACTGCCAATATCACGGGCGGCGTTGAAAGTGTTAAAAATATTTTAATAAAATATTTAACTGCAATTATTTTAATAACTTTTAGCCAAAATTAACGTTTTTCAACTTGTCGTTTATTACAGTGTCATTTTTTCACCTGTCGATTTTTACTGATTACCGAATCACTCCATGTGTTTCTTATTAACAGTTATTTACTTTCACCTCTATTCAATATGCCTATATATGTATTATTTATAATAATATTATCATGACTAGAAAACTAAAACTAATAATATTACAATAGGTATCTGTTTTTCAAAAACAAACGAGTAAATATAAATATAAGCATAAAAAGTAGGTCATGGGGAGGTTATTAGTAGATGACACCCTCGTCATCCCTCCGGGGCTCAACCTTAAGGGGGGAAATAACCTAACCTGTTGCTGTAGGCGATTATTACCTCAGGTGATTAATAACCCCCAGTAAAAAATTGTGGGGGGAGGTAATAATCGCCTGTTGCTGTAGGCGATTATTACCTCAGGCGATTAATACCCCCCGGTAAAAAATTGTGAGGGGGTAATAATCGCCTGTTGCTGTAGGCAATTATTACCTCAGGCGATTATTAACGCAGGCGATTAATACCCCCCAGTAAAAAATTGTGGGGGGAAGTAATAATCGCCTGTTGCTGTAGGCGATTATTACCTTAAGCGATTAATACCCCCCGGTAAAAAATTGTGAGGGGGGTAATAATCGCCTGTTACTGTAGGCGATTATTACTTCAGGCGATTATTACCCCCTTTCGGTAATAATATAGAGGGTAATAATCGCCTGTGACACCGGCTCGGAGGTGAACATACGACGACGACTGCGGGGGTCCGTAAAAAGAATACGGACGGTGACGACGTCGGGACTCGCTGTCGGTCGCGGTTATCGCGGGGAAAACCGTAGATAAGGTCGACAAAATTATATTTGGACAACCAGCTCGAGCACTGTTATTCTATCCTTTTCATAGTTCTCTCGCGAATTCCGACGACTTTCCTTCGTACTCAAAGTGGATTTTCTTTTCTCATCAAATACAGCGCGTCTCCACGGAGCAATGATCTCACTACGCCATTTCGTGTTGGATATGACACATAATTATGTTAAACATGCGCATGTGCATAATATATAATATACTTTTCATTGCCAATGTTTGGTTTCATTAATTTTAGCGAACATTTATTATTTATTTGTTTCCACTTGTTCTCGCACATTGTGTTCATAAGAACAATACGCGTATTATGCATACCACAATATATTATACTATGCAGTGTATAACGTAATGATAAATATTGTATGTATCCTTCCCGCAGCTGATCAACAACCACCGTCAGTCATTTTTGCAATTCCAGTTTCAACGTGTGCACGGGAAATGTTGTTTCGTTGTACGCGACTTACTTGCGATACACACAATATTGTAATAATGTTGAGTATTATGTTTTATGCATTTGCATGTGTCACAATTGCCGTCAGACCTTATTTTTCTTAGTTTTTATTAGTCTTTAGTACATCCGTGTCCTTGTACAACGATATATTAATCTTCATTATAAAACCGTGAACGCGAATTCTTTGGCAATCTTAATACAAGTCTATTATTATTTAGAAACAAATCGAAAGTACTCTACGGCATTTGAGTTGAATTAAATTAAGTTTATACGTTTTTTACGTTTTCGAAATTGTATTGTATTGATATCGATGATCTTTTTTTTTAACCTAGATAAATTCAAAATATCGAATTTAAATTAGAAATCAAATAAACCAAACGAAATCCTGTTTTATAAAAATACTATACGAAACTTTTGTGGTCACTTAATTTTCATTGCGTTCATCATATCCAGAAAATGATATTTTCCATAAATTTTTGCACAAACCCGATTCAGTCGTATTATTGCGTTTTTAGTTAATAAATCTTATTCCTATTTTGTACATTATTAAATCCAACTAAACGAATCGTTGGTAGTTTTAAAATATTTACGTAGAATTAAAGTAACTCAAAATAATTATATTTCGTAGTGAAAATTCAACCAAATATTTACTAGAATTTTGAAATGTGTAGTTATCGTAA